GTGTGTGGATGTTGTGATTTTTAACCAGTTGAATAAACAGTTACGGTAATTGGTCTCGTTGTACTTGTTTACTTTTGTATTTTAATTTTATATTACTTAATAAATATGTGGATTTTTTCTTTTATGCCCTTGTTTACATTTCAGACGTAAAATAACTTTTCTAGAGATCCTCAGGTACTTGTGTTACCGAATATGTCCACTTGGGGGGTGTCATGTCAATTATAATAACCGATATAAACGCATTGAGAATATCTATTTTAAATAATTAACGGAATAATAATGTTGTTGTTGCACAAACAACGGTTTTGGTGCTTCTATATAAAAACTGGACAGATTTCCATTTTTGTTTCCAAATAAAATATTTATTCATCATTTGGTTTTGTAAATCTATATCTGACTGTGACTATTGTACATTTTAAAGTCAGGTGGCCTAGTACATATATAAGGATTAGGATGAAGAACATTAATATAATAATAACAACACTATTATGTAAAAAAAAATGCCTGTGTGTGGGACGGTTACAGATGTCTCATTAGCAGCAGCCACTTGTGAATGAAGAACAATGAAGCTGTAAATAATGGACATAATGACTGCCCTCTCTGCCTCAGGTCAACCTCAGATAGGCTTAAACCACAGAAGGCTGTGAAAGTGGGGAAAAAGGAGTATCTGAAGCACATATTATGAAATAAATTCAACGTCCAGTTGGAATAAAACTTCATATTGTAATTAATAGACAGATTTTATTATGTCCACCGTGTGTATTTAAGTGGCAGAGATTATTTCCAATAGTGTTAAGTTGGGTATTGCAGTTGGGTATAAATTGGGAATTACAAACATTAAGTTAGGTATGTGTAGAGTGTTCAGTGTAAACATATATTCACTTAAGCACTAACAGCTCCATAAGTAGATTATATATATATATATGTATATATATATATATATTGACTGAGTTCAGTTTGTTGTTTTACCTAGCAAACTCAGCAACAAACTTGTATGATTCATTCAACATGAATAAAAAGACATTCGAAAATGATGTGACTAGTGATAGACGTCACAATTTTACGTCACTTAGAAATAGAATAATTTCAGCATAATCTACCATTCAGACTTATGGACGTGTCAAATAGATAGGCCAACATGCTTCTTTTATTAAATATATACAAATATTATATAGTTTAGTCTAAAGTAATTTAATGGTCAGATGGAATTGATGTGCGTATCTAGAGTTATTATAAATTGAGTTGTTATGGTTTTTATTCTTGTTATAGTTAGTTTGTTATAACGTAACATTGAGGGAAAAGAGTTTTCACCTCATCTCCAGGCGGAAGTGGTTAGTGGAAACGCTATTGGACTCTTCCAGTTAGCAGGCTAGGGCGTCGCTAGCGGCAGAAAGTGGGATTTTCGGTACCCTTTAAAGTTATTTTATTTTACAAATAGCGGTCTAGGTGTTAAAAAACATCACCACGTGTTTATATACAGTTAATGACGACTGGTTGCGATTTTGTCGTTGTTCACACAGGACTTGGTTGTTACTTTGTGTCCTGTTAGCTGGCCACACCGCTAGCCTGCTTTCCATCCACGGGAATTCTGTCGAGAAACGACTGAATTCTGGAAACATGGAGTCAAGGAGCGCCGCTCTCTGTTAACCAACTTCACTCTGATCGTCGCTTCAGGGAGAAGTTTTTTGTCGGACTCAAACCAGGGGAAATATACGAGAACCCAGGCAGCATTACTACGGCGTGGCTGTGCGTATAATTTCTGTGGTTTTTCAGCTCATTGTTGTGAACGGGAGTTTGCTTAGTTTGCACTCGACCCAAAAGCACACGAAGCAAAGTTTTTTTTCCAGTGGGAGCTCATCTGTTTTGTTAGCTGGTAGCTGTCGAGATTCAACCTTAGTCTGTTTGCCGTCTGAATATTTTTTAAAATCGTATCGTGCTGATTTACATAACCAGGCAGTTTAACTGTTATATTTTTAATCTTGGATTTCATTATACTATATCTGCCGTGGTTTTTTTTCGCTGCCTTGAACTGGGGAGTTGAGCGATTCTCACGGCCACTGGAGACTCCGTCCCCACGGCCAGACAGACAGACGGACGAGCAGGCAGGCAGGCACTTCCCGTAGCAGGGAATATCAAACGGGACTGGGGGAATTTTCCACATCTCCGGAGATCGTTAAAAGAACTGTGAATATCAAGTCCCGAGCTGTGGTTGCTGCAGACGGACTACATCACAGTAAAGGCCGGGTATCTGTCACAGTGGAATACGGATTGTTTACACATTTCGTTCGGGACGTGAATGCAACGGATTCACCCCAGGACTTCTTAAATGCAGTAAAATTTATGCATTTTATTTATTATTTTTGCTAAAACACTGTTCCATGCCGGGGTAGGACTGTACAGCTACGTACCATAGAGGCCCCGCATGATTGGTTTGGGCTGACAAGTCATCTCAGCTAAAAATCATTTTTGTCAAGGGAAATTGCTTGTAAGAGGTTTCGCCTCGTGTGTTGACGTGCCTTGCGACAGCCCAACAATTCTGTCGTTGTCATCAGCAGCAGCTTCAGAATCCTCGGCCAGTTTAAACGGATGCCAAAGAAGGACACTCCAAGAAGTCGCCTAATCACACTCTGGAAAATGTTAATCGGATATAATTTGCTGCAAATCTAGAACCGGAAGCCCAATGAGTGACACACAGTCCAGCTTCACTGACAGGTATGGTATTACATGATACTGTCATTATTGGTACTGTCATTCTGTAAAGGCAGTGTTTGCATTTCATATTCATAAATCCAGGCCTTATAGGATGAGAAGACAAGCTTATTTTCTGTTATTGGACACATGGTGTCTTGTTAATCTGTGTACCTTTCGGCCTATCTGCCTTTTCTTTCTACTTTATACTACATCAGTTTATCAATCTTTTTACATATCTGTCAACCATTTGTCTATCGATCCCGATCTCTATTCATTTGTCTTGGAAATTCAACCAACAGTCTCCACTTCTGTCTGTTTTGCCTGCTAAATCTTTGTGTTCAGTAATAACTGTGTTACGCCGTCTAATTGCTAAGGCAGGGATACATCTTAATGGAAACTCTGCTGATCTCAGCATGGATAATGGAGTTCTCTGCAGACAGTAAAGTACCACTTGTCCCGAGAGTGAGAAGCCTGCTGCCACTGTTGGTGTGCCAGGGAGGGAACAGTGATTCAATCCCTACACACGTTTCAACATCACTATTACTTCTAAGCCTTTAAAGCCGACCTTCTATAACACCCATTAAAACAATCTCCGGATTTGGACAAAACCTCAGCCTTGTCGAGTAATCACCTTATCTTATGTATCTGTCCACTTAAACCCAAAGGTGGAACACTCTTGCTGAGACCTGCAGGCTATAAAGTGTTACAGCCCTAAGTATATATAAAGCCACAAGCTGAGTCAGTCCATTGCATTTTTTTCTGTTACATTTCTTTCAGTTGTTTAATGTGTATCTGTATTCTAAATACAGGCTTTTCATTTCACATCCATGCTAGCATTGACATGTAGAGATTAGAGGCAGTTGAATTTTCCCGTCTGAGTCCCACTTATCTGTCAGAAGGACGATTTTTGTTCAGCGTTATGAATGGATTTTAACCAGAGGGGAAGATTATTGCACAGGTTGGGAAATAAAATATTCTCCCATCTGGAGGCGGAGGATAAAGCCCAACCCAATTTCACACGACCCTTCCCCCAGAGCAGTGATTGTGGTGCTTTTAATTGCTCTTGTTTTAATTTTTAAACAGCACATTGCAACCACAACACTGTAATGGTATTGTTAAAAAAAGCAGAGTAGACATTTATCAAGCCTGTCCTTCCCTTCATTACTTATCACAATTTACCACATTTCAGTTAAATAAATGTGTAGACATTTCAGTGGCAAATAATGAGCAAAAATACATAAGGGGCTCTAATATATGTTTGTCACTGCTACTACAGTGTGGAGTGTGGTGTAAGTAAAGATACTCCTAAACAGCCACAGTAAACAAAATAAAATATGAAGCATTGTGGTACCAGTCTGCATGTTTAGCTGGAGTACATGTCAGGCTGTTTCTAGTCTCTAGAAACAGTGTACTGTTCAAGTAACAACTCTGTCTAGTACATAAAGTCGGAAATGTTGATTATTAAGGTTGCAGCAGTGTTGGTGGAGGGCAGTTTTCTACCATGGTTGAAGATAATGACCGTATTGATCTGTGATGCTCTGCTTTTCCTCCCTATATCAGTCTTGATTTCCCGGCTTTACCATTCTCTGCCTTTGTATGTACATTAGTGTTGTGCGTTTTATTTTTGCTAGCTTCTCTTGAGTGTCAGTGTCCACCCAACAAGCGTTGCAGATATGCTTCCAGCTGATGGGCTCAGTTTTGTGTGCTGTTTGCTCTTTGTCATATAGAGTTCTGCTGATCTCCACGTTTTTCCCACCCCCACACTCTCTGAGGCCCTCCTGGGAAGTGGATCTAGTGACATCACTAATAGTAAACAATGGTGTTCCCTTGCGGGGCAAACTGATTGCCTGGAATACAGTACTACTGGGCCATAACTGTAGTTCAGGTTCATACAGGGGTTCAAAATAGTTTAAAAACTCATTACTCATCACTAATTCATCACAGACAAAATTAAATTAGGCACACAAGAGAGTTTGGTACATAGTGATAAATACGCTGCTTGGCTTGTTTGACAATTCTTTTTTTACAACTTTTTCATGGTAGCTTGGATGAGAATGATTGTTCAACAAAGAGTGTTCTTTTCACCACAGTACCTCAACTCAATGTAAAATAAGTCAACAACAACAGTCCTAGTACAGACACCAGAGCTAATGTTATCTACAACAGTCCTGGTACAGACACCAGAGCTAGTGTTAGCTACAATAGGCCTAGTACAGACAACATAGCTAATTTTAGCTATAACAGTTCTGGTACAGACAACAGCGCTAATATTAGCTGTGACAGTCCTGGTACAGAAAAACAGTGTATCCAGCCCGCAATAGACCTGTTGATGTGGTTTACAGCCAAAAACTTTTTTAAATGTTGTAAAATAGCTGTAATTGTACTGTTGGGTTTTTACCAATCTGTCAAAGATAGAAAATGCACAAAAAGTTTTTCACTCATCTAGTCAGAACAGATACTTAGGGATTTGTGCCAACTGCTCCAAACTGCTGGGTGTTTACTCTTTTTTAAAACCTTACCTCTGAACAGCTCAACTGTATGTGCTTTTTGGTTACCTTTAACACTACATCACCAAGTTTAAGGCATCAAATATATGTGATACTATATGTGATATATAGATGCAAGTGGTTACTCATTAATGGTAATAGACATCCTACTGTCAGCCAGCACCATACTACAGTGTTATTACTCAGGTGTTGCAGTGAGTGCAGGTTCTTCTCACTTTATACAGGAAGAAATCCTCAAATAACTTAGCACATACATACATACACTCTGTGCACATACAACATGGTTTGCCTCATACGACCCATCCGCTGACATATCTGTTGTACACAGTATTCAAAAGGGTCACACTGAAGTACAGCAAAAATAATTTCTCCTTACGTCATGCTTGTTAGTGTTGTTGTTGGAAATGTTTTTATGTTGAGTCGCTCCTACCTTTAAACCTAACAAGTAAATGAACAAGGCCTAAAATACAACTTTTGTTTGGTAATTGTAAGAGATTGCAAATGAAGTCTCCCTGAAGATTCACACTTGGATGTCACTATAGCAGACACACACCAACTCTCACCATACCCTTGTTGTTTTGTTTTTTTGCCAGATTGCAGTTCACGCCCTATTTTAGACACGATGTTAATAACGTCAGTCTTTATTTCCAGTCTTTGCATGAGTCCTAGCCTTTATCCCAATCATCATTACTTGGCATTCCCTAGTTCAGAGGTATTTTGCCAAATAAAGGGATATCACCTGTAACCTGAATTTAACCTCAAATTTACCTAAAAACAAAATAATAAAAATTACACTAAAAGCTACATGAACAGAGTCTGGTCAGGAGATGGGGCTGAGTGCTGCTGGAGTTTGGTTCTGTCCACCAGATCTGTGATACTGATTCTTGTTGACACCCTTCACAATTCTGCCTTGTTAGCCAAGAGAGCTCCAGGGCCCAAACATTAGTTTCACTCCACAAAGGACTGGATCACAACAATAGAGCAAAAAGAGGACAAGGAAAAAGAGCTGTCTTGCCTCGGTGTCATGCTCTTACATGTCCATGTAGGGATTTGGAGCCATGAACTGCATCAGAGCCGTTCACAAGACACTGGCATTTTTTTTAAGTCAGAATTAGTTTTGCAGTGTCCCATTAGATTTGATACTGTTGATTTAGCTGGTAAATTTATTGGACCCGCTTTTATTGAAACACTTAATATTTTAAATAACTGCATTGCAAAAATGTAACGGTACAAACCAATTTGATCAAGTAAGCATTATGGTTGCAAGTCGATGTAATTTTAGCTTTCATTTTTTCTGCAGAGTATGTTACTTAAGTTTACAGAAGCAACACTACTTTCTAGTGTTTAATGCTGACAATAACCACCCTCTAACAGTAGTGTGACCAACAGCTAGACTTTGATCATCAGACGTGTTTATTATCAGAGCTAATGTACAACATGCTCTCGAGCTGCAAAACGTTGTGTTTCTTTTTATGACCTCTATACATGAATGGGAACCGACGAGTGTTCTTTAGAATTTTGCCTCCAAAATCAGAGAAATGATTCATGAGTGCAGCTGAGCTCAGACGATACTAGGTACTCATCAGGATATCGGTGTCTGTAATTTTTGTTACCGTTCACATCTCTACTCACTGTGTTGGAACATGACTGAAGTGTCTTACAGGGCTGAAGTATGTTACATCACATTCAAACGGACGCCAAGGCTAATTTTTTAATCTGATGCTGTGACATTAGCAATATCACCCTGCTATAAAAAAGAAACAATGCACCATCAGCTCATGTACAGTATGCATCTTTTTACTCTGTCATAGACATAAACATTTGTCATTCGTCAAGTTTGATGTGCTTCACGTATATTTCATAGTCTCTCCTATTAGATTAAAATAAACACGCCACATATATAGGCATATTTGAGGTGACCAAAATCAAGGATGCGAGTCAGCACTAGTTTGAGGTAAGTATTTAACCTTCATCAATCTTTCACTCCCTGTTTCTGCTGATTCATGAACGACTGGCTGACAACACAATCAATCAATCAACTCTTCCTTTACATCAGATTCAGCTTTGTGTTCAGGGTGTAATTTTATTTGGAAATATGCAGTTTTTATTTCTGGTCAATTCTCAGTCAAGGGTATAAGAAAAGAAAAGTTTAGTTCTTTTTGCTCTGCTAATAAGATCTTTGATGTCTTGATTCTAGTGCAGCGTGTGTCCGCGGTGTCGTAGATGGAAATGTTTTATAGCTTTGGAGAGAGCGCAGTGTGAGTAACATGCTTTTTACTCCTGGTTGCATCAGCCTAAATGTCGTGGCACTGCATCTCACAGCTGTCAGTCCCCTAAAGATCTCTACAGGACAGCAAATCATTTTAATCGCTTCAGGTGTCAGGGCTTTCCTGGTAGACACCGCAGCAGATCTGTAACTATTATGCTGAAGTGCAGACACTCCCTCAACACAAAGGTGAAGTGCAGGAGAATTTTTAGAATTTTTTTTCTCCTCATTTTGACAAATGAGAAAAA